ATCCCTCAGAGAAAATCCTGTCAGTGCTGCTTATTTAACCAAGCTAAACAAGGTACCCTAATTGCCTCTCTTCTCTCCTCCTGATTTTTTAATTAGTGAGAAAACTGAGTAACTCTCTTTTTACAAAATAGACATAAATTTCTGTTCTGAACACTGCAACCCCAAAGATAATTAGCCCAAAATTTTCAAATGCAACAGATGCCAGAGGGAGTTTGATTTCCAAGTGCCAGAGTGCACAGTGCTTGGAAGTAAAAGAAAAAGCCTTTCAGGTGTTTTAAATAAAACATCAATAACTGGGACCCCTCTGCTACCTCTTAGAAGTGCTTCATGCTGATAGCTGGCGTGAGATTTTCACAAAGAGTATGGCACTTTGTCTCTCTCATCAGGTAAAGTAGCAGAGCCCAGCAGCAGGAAAAACACTGTTCTTCCCTTATCTGTGAGAGATGCCTGGTACATCATTGTGGTCACTTCACTGTTCCTCAGTTTCCTCAGCTGTAAAATAGTACATCCTGTTTATCGTAAGGATGAATTAATTCCTCATCACAAAAGGCTTTGAAACTCTGGATGGGGAAGCTTTATCCTAAACACAGACAAATTATTAACTTCCTATATCCAGCCCATGATGTGCTGACTCTGGTGCCAGGATGGAGCTTTAACTTCCCAGCAAAATTCAAACCATCCAGGATCAAAACTTGCTTTTATACTTCTTTTTGTGCATGACCAAATTGGCAGCATTTTTATGGGTAGACAGTCATATCCCACCTCCTCTCCCATTGCTTTAGATCACTTGAAGTAGCAAGAGTTTTAGGTCTTTTGGAGAGCAGAAAATAGTAATAAAATAGAAGATTCATAGAAACAGCGCTTAAAAGGCATTTCTTGCCATGCAATAAGAAGCTATCCTATTACTATAAACAGGTTACTCTTCCAATGAACTTATTTCTTGTGGCTAAGTACTACTGTTCCAAGGTGGACATTCACATGGTTACTTTTCTGTCATAGGACTGGGTCTTGAACATCAAGACCCTTGAACATCAGGAGTGTGCTGGGTTTCTTCAGGGAATGAGTCAGAGCAACTAAATTTGTTTAGGAACCAACCCCCCTAAGCCAATGTTAACTTCTGAGAAAAGCTCTGCCCACATTTTTAGTGCTTCAGTCTCATAATTCAACACGCAGAGCCTTCAAATGATCATTGGAAGTAAAAGGTGGGGTGCAGACACAAATGGGAACACAGGAACCCTGGACCTTGTGGGTTAACTCCTGTCCCACATTGAGATCTCTCATTAAAGCCCAATCTCAAGGGATAAGCTGGATCCAGATCAAGTTGTATCTTACTACCTGACAGCCATTGCCTTCGAAAAAGCAAGAACTAGGTCAAACCAGTAGTTACTGTGACTCTGAATCTGCTTTCAGACAGGGGCCACCAGCAAATGCTGAAAGCAGACTGCAAGGGCAAGACAGGAATAGGGAGAAGCGTCCCTCCTGGGAGACCTGCCCATCTCTCAGCCCCACACTGACTGTTTTCATCCCCACACAGGGATAAATACACAAGTCCAAAATTTGGGAAAAAAGCCTCCAAGAAGTAATCACATATCCAGATGAACACAACTCAGGGAGTGAGCTGCTAAAATATCTCAGAGCATCCAGGCCCAAGTGAGAAGTGCTCTGAAGAACTCAGGGCTGCATTTTCAAGTTTTTAACTTTGGATGGGGCTTTGAGCAAGCTGGTCAAGTGGAAAGAGTCTCTGCCTGTGGTAGGGGAGTTGGAGCTAGATGACCTTTAATGTTGCTTTCAACCCAACCCATTCTATGATCCTATGATATCACACATTGAAGACTCATGACTCAACATAAGCATAAGTACACCAAAAATAGAAAAGAAATCCAGAACTTCATCTACTACGTATTATCTTTCACAAACAAAAAATGAGTTTGCACCATATTTGAAAATGATTGTTTTAAAGTGTTCTCTATTTCAAAGTAGACATTTTTCTGTTTTGAGGGAGAAATTAACTATAGCACATTTTAAAAGACCACGTATTTGTTCAAACAAAAATGTCATTTTTAATCTGAGTGCCTTTCAGAAGATAGAATGTTTTCACCCTCAGCATAAGAAGCATTAAGTTTTTACCATTGACTTCAACTGAACCAGCACTTGATATGTCTTAACCGATTCTACTGTGAAATTTGCATTTAGTATTTGTACTCACACTAAAACAGGCCTCTGGTATTGTTGTAAGTTACAAAATATCTGAAGCAAATATGTTTTTATTCAGAAGGCTTAACTGGGTTTTTTTTCTGTATTCAGTTTTCTGTATCATGTTTTCGCTTTGTTTTCTGATTAACTGTGAAAGAATAAAAATAACGTAAGAATCTGACAAAATACTCATCTCAGCTGATGACTGTTTTCTTACTTACAAGCAGAAAAAAAAAAAGGGAAGACAATACGAGTAATTTTGCAAGCACTCAAAATCATCACTGCCACAGGAAAGTTCTACCACTCAGGCGTGTTTTAAATATAACCATGGGAAAAAATCAGAGAAAGTGCAAATACTTGTAATTACAGCATCCATTTAAACTTTACAATGTATTTTATTGCTGTTAGAAATAATTCTAAGATCAGGCATATGCTGGCACATTTAACATGGAAATTAGCTGTGACTGATAAAAATTTAGTACATTTTAGTAAAACCTATAGCTGCAGCACTACCTGAGTAGTTTGCTCCTCCTGATCATTAAAAAAAGCAAAGATAAACTGAGTGAGACAATGG